CTAATCTGTACCTATTATTAGTAAACTGTCTCAAGCTTGTTTAACTGTTTTTTGCGTGGGGGGGGCCTTACCCTCTTTGGAATGGAAAGATAAGTGAAAATGATTGATTGTTTCCGAGTCATTTGTCATGCACTGACAATCCTGACAGCGCAATGGACGGCTTTCTCATTTGACCTCTGAGAACGTCAAATGAAAACAATATTGCTCTTGCAGCCACTGGCCCGCTCTGTTAACTGAGTTTATGATATAATACCGTTGGTTGGTGGTTGACGGATTGAGCGGTGCGTCAGCTGTGACGAGGCAGTGGGTCGTTGATGTGTCCCTCGCTTCATTTGACTCCCACGTCAATCTGTCCTCCATCCAGCTGGAGAGGAGAGGTGGGACAGAGTCACCAGTGAATGAATGAAGGAATAAACGACAAAATTAATAGTTAGGTGATAGATAGAGAAGAGAATAAGAGACAGACTAGAAATTTAGTGGTGAAGTTGAGAATAAATAGATTGTTGTTTTACCACATGTAATAAATAAACACTGACATTGCCGTGGATAGAAGGACTGTATATATTGTATATTATCTGGGAATGCTGAATGAAATAGGGTTTCTGATTGATTGAGGGCGTGTGGCCTGTTTGTAGTTGCAAGACATGCTGTTGTGATAACAGTGGGTCATGGATTATTATTCTTATCCATTGTCTTGTGTATGAATAATGATTTCACTTTATCAGGTTTAATGATTTATTTCTTATTTGACTGTAGTCATCTGCATAACTTGAGGATATTTATTGGAGACGACGACCATCGTAAGCAGCAATTTATCTTTGAGACATGCACACAACACAACATTGCTAACTTAGATGTTTTAATGAAAATTACCAAAAAAACACTACATCAAATACATTTAACCAAATTATTTATTCTTAATTTCTGCTTTCCGGCCAGTAGTAGTGATGTACTGCCAGCATTGTGCCAAACTAATGAAGAAACTCACACCAGGGAAGAAGAAAAAGACGAAGCTAGCCTGGGGGAAGAAGAGAAAAGATAAGAGAAGTTCAGTGTGCCCTACAGGCTGTAAGGCAGGATTGGACTATCACTTTAATTTCCCTCTCTCTGTTCATTTGGAGTGGTGGAGTTTGGCTGCAGGTGAAATCCGTGTTTAATTACAAGTGGAGGGGGCAGGAAAAGAGTAGGATAAAGAGAAGAACAGAGATGAGGCAGAAGAATTAGTTAATAATAAAAGTCTCTGCAGATTTATTAAATGATCACTTTCCCACTGCAGGTTGACTCGAAGGCCTGTGGCATTATGTAAGGAGGAGGGGTGACAGAGAGAAAAGAAGGAGAGAGGAAAGAAAAACAAAGTTGAGTTTTATCATCTTCTCAGTGTAGTGATGAAGATCTTGAATTGGAAATTCTAATACACTTACGGCGAAGACTCTTCCTCCCTCTCTCCCTTTGACAACCATTTTCCACAGATACAATAGACTTCCACACTTACTGTATATATGCATATATAATTTGATGCCACTGTGCCACCACAGTAAATGATCAAGTACGTCTTCATCTCCCCCACACACATTAAGACATCAAGTACGTCTGTGATCATGGCCTTCTTTAAAATCATGATTATATTCAGCAGCTTCCATCCCTCCCTATTGTGAAAGGAGGGAGAGTGCAGGGTGTAATGGCTGTCATTTTCTCACCTGAAACAGGAGGGAATTATAAATGCCATGCACCCCATCCTTTGTATTTATCCCTGCTGATATGATAGCGCAGCCATAGTGAAGAGACAGTGAGCCATAATGGTTGCCCCTCTGGCAAAGCCCATGAAGAAGATTGCATGAAATGAATGTGATATCGAGATGAGAGAGACAAGGGGTGCATTGGGTCGTTTAGCCACCAAATCCCTCAATTTTTTTGATAAAAGTGGGGACAAAAGTGTTGCCTGCTTGAGTGTGTGTGTGTGTGTGTGTGTGTGTGTGTGTGTGTGTGTGTGTGTGTGTGTGTGTGTGTGTGTGTGTGCGCGCACCAGATAGAGAATTGGAGGCTCTGGAGAGATGATGAATGTATGATCTTACACACCTCAGAGCGTCTGAGTGACAGAGAAAGACAGACAGACAGGGGGAGAATGAATGATATCAGGATCCGCGCTCTGGAAGAGAGGATTCACATTGGCACCCATCGCTTCTGCTGGGCTCTGAATGTGGTGTGTGTTTGTCTTTGTGTGTGTGTTTTATCTGTTGCAAAAACCATTTCCCCAAATGCGGGCATCTGAGGCCTCGATAGGCATCAGGAGGTCCCTTCCATTCAACGAAGTCTACATCCGTGTGTGTTTTTGTATATGTGTGTACATGTGGCTGGTGTGTGTATCGGCATATCTGCCACCGATGAAGTGTTAAATTATAAAGCGTTCAGATATGGTGGCATTGTTTGCTACAGTTCTGTCTGGGTGCTTAGCTTTTATGGCAGATCAGGAGGTGACAAAACACTCGATGCGGTGACATGGCTACGTAGATTACATAAACGCACACACACACAAACACAGAAAGATTGCGGTTTCATACACTCTCATGATAAGACTTTGGCAGCTGAAATCCTTCCATAGGCTAACACAATGGCCTTTCTTTTCGCTGCCTAACAGGTTATTTAGCTGGCAGTGGGCTGAGGCAGTAGAGGAGGTGTAGGCTTGCTGGAGAGTGACAGGAAGAGAGGGAATCTATCATGTGAGATGCAATGAGAATCAGTGTGTGAGTTTGATCATGTGCACACACACTTGCACCACTATCTCTCTGATTCCATCTCAAACCCATTCTCTTTATCTCCCTAATGCAAATGCACCTCTACACGGCAGGGAGGGCGAAACATGCAGACCCCCCCCCCAAAGAATACGCACATACACATTTGCACGCTTAACACATCTGTAATAGCATGCAGGATTTCTCTTAACTTTGACAAGGTGATACGCCCCCTCTGAATTCATTCAGCTGTGTGTGAATCTCTGCCTGTGTGTGAGCACATGTCTGCCTGAGTATGCTATTTATAGTATTGGGCGAGATACAGAGGTATGTAAATGTAGAGAGCAAGAGTGAGAGAGAAGAAGTGTGTTTTTAGTGTCTGACTTCAGTGACAGTATGTGTCTCTTTGTGGTCCACGTGCTTCTCTGTGCACACGTGTAGGCTGAAATGCATGTAGAGATGTGCTGTATGATAGTCTGTGCATCCAACAGAGAGAACCACGGTCAGTACCAGGCTGCACTTTAGAGATACCACATAGGCGTTTCTGATCTCTTGTTGCATTCCGCCATGCCCTTCATTGGATGGTTTAATTATGGTGCTTTCCATACCCTCAAATATGGAATTGAGTTTGAAAATGTGCTGCAAAGACACGTATAATTGCATCACTTATGTACTTGCATATCTGGATGTATAAAGAGAGACTAGTTTTCAAAAGAATTTTATCCTCAGCACCCATTGGAGGTGTGGCAAACTGAAACTGTGTTTGGACCTCAGATGTGAAGTTATTAATATATATTTATCTTCTTCATTATACTAAAAACATACTCAACATACATAGGAAGTTGCCAAAAAAGGGCAAAACTTTAGTTTATTTGCATCTAAAACTCATATTGCAGGCACACACACACAAACATCAGTACACACACACACACTTACACATACACAAACAGCTTTATCCTCATCATAACCCAATATCAGTCCCACACTGATGATGTCGTCTCTCTTTCCCGACTGTCATCGGTGAGCAGCATGAGTGACAGCGGTCATCCACCAATGACGGCTCATTAATCAAAAGTGCCAGCAACACCTATTATTGCACCATGCTGTTACCATGGCAACAATAGGAGGGGACGGCTGAGCTGAGGGGACTACCTCAGCTTTGCCCCTTGCGCTCGGTCACTCAAGGCCCATGCCAATCAGTGCCAGTCAATGCCAGTTTGAATTGGCAGGGCTATATATCATAATAGATGGACTGCTCTCCCAAGTGTCCAAGTTTTTTCATATGGAGCCAATGAAGAAAGATGGAAACTGTCAAGCAGTTACATTTTAATGAAAGTCAGTGCTGATACAGAATACTTTGCATTATCACTTTACATATTACTTTGGTATGTTTGTTTGTTTTTGCAGTTAATGTGTATATGGATCTAAATAGTGCTCAAAACAGAGACACATTTTGTTGGAATATAATTAGTTAGTTAGTTAGCTTATGTTGTTATTATTCTTATTCTTCCATCACAGCTACAATGAAGTTTAATAGAGACAGTTAATAAAAATTGCAGTTTTAGTCCGAGTCATTAAGGATGCAAGCAAAAATGCAACAACAAGATATGTTGTGTTTTGGGAAAAGATTGCAACAATCACTGTTCACCTCTCCACCCACACATACTTGACTGTACGGTATCTGATTGCAACAAGTTTGTGCCTATTCTATAGAGGTTGTCCGAACTACTCTGCTATATTTGAAGTAGATTAGAAGTAGTACTTTCCATGAAAATTGGAAAATTAGTTATGTGTTGCATATGAGCCATTACTTGTGTATAAGGAATAGAGATGCATTGTGCTTGTCTAAGCAACCTGAGAAGGATTTTGTTTGCAAACAACTGAAAACAATATTTTAATCAATTTATTAATACAGATTCACCCTTTTTTCACCGTCTCTCTCTCTCTCTCATAGAGACACACACACACACACACACACACACACACACACACACACACACACACACACACACATACACACACATACATCTGAAGCATGCAGATATATTCATTACATTTAAATTCCTCTGCTGACATGACCCAAACACTGCAGTTCTTAAATTCCTAAAATGATTACATTTCTCTTGCAATGCATCTTCTGTGTCTGTCTTGTTGTAATGGTTCCTTATATTATTTCTACTCATCTTCACTTCATTGATACATACAATACAAAAACATAACATTTGAATATATCTCCAATGTAAATAATCCTTGTTGTATGTTTCTCTGCAGCTGTCAAGGGTGCCAGTGGAGGCCTGCGGTCAGTATGCAACCTGCAGTGAATGTCTTGGATCAGGAGATCCCCACTGTGGCTGGTGTGTCCTGCACAACATGTAAGTACTACTAGAACTGTCCTAGACGTGTACAAACACACACACACCCCTGTATTTTTCTATTTTGCTTTCATTTTCCAGGCGTACAACAATTATTATTGTCTCACTTCCTTCCAGCACATTCACAAAGCCTCAAACTTACTAACCAGATGGTTTCTTTTTCTTTTTTTGCTAACAATGTGTTTGGATTGTTAGCATCCCTTACCTCCATGACACCTGGGCCCATGCCCAGTACTCCATCGTTGCAGCCCTTGAGCATTAAGGGACTCCTCTAGCCAACCCAGGTCAACTCTCAGATTGCTTTCCTGGGGCTCGGCCTTGTGCCAGTGTCCCCCTTGGATCCATTACCAAACCTAACCACTGGCATTGTTTACCAGCCCTGAAACCAGAGCCTGGTGAGAGCACAGACACTGGTGGGCACTGCCAGGGCTCTGATGGGCACTGCTCCAAACTTGAGGAGTTGACACGAGGAGAGTGATAGCTTCTGTTATTGTAACTGAGCTGGAAACTGAAAGATATCCGAGATTATCTCATTAACCACAATTCACTCACTCTGTACCCTGCTAACCTGTTCTCTTTCCTGCATTTTTTTCTTTGCCTTTAAGCTTGTCTGTCTGTCTGTGTCACTCTCTCTTTCACACGCACACACATAAATGCACACAAATTCGCACATACCCCAGCTGCTGTCAAACCCTTGTCCCTCAAGATTGGAGTAGAAGATAGTGCTTGCTGGGGGCAGGGAGATTTCCCACTCCACTGTAAATTGAAAATTGGTTTCTTGTGTTGGTGCTAGCCCTTGGGTAGACTGTGTCTGTCTGTCTGTCTGTCTGTCTGTCTGTCTGTCTGTCTGTGTCTGTCTGTGTAAGTGTATAAAACTGAGTACATTTGGGACCTTCCTCCCTGCTGGCATGAGAGGACATGGTGAGGACAGAGAAGCTGTGTGTGTGTGTGTGTGTGTGTGTGTGTGTGTGTGTGTGTGTGTGTGTGTGTGTGTGTGTGTGTGTGTGAAAATGATAGATTTAGAAAAAAAGAGATGAATGGCAAGATGACAAAGAAAGAGAGCCAAGAGTATAGCAGAGACTAAAATAGTAAATTCCTAGAAACCTATAAGGATGGTCATCCTGCATACAAACTTCTAAGAGAGAAGAACTGTGAAAAAGGGCTGAATGTGATAAATTGTCAGTTCTGAAAAGGGTCTTAGTGGGGAAAAAGAGCAAGTTTGTGTGCAGCAGAGTGAAGGAAGGAGAAATAGAGGATGAATGTGTTTGAGGTCTCCAGGGCAGAAAGTGCATTAGCAGACAGAGGACACACTCTAATGGGTTATGGGTCACATACCAGGGGTTAGAGGCAAAGTCTCTCACACACATGCACACACCCATGCATGGATTTGTAATGTATAGTCTTATATTAAACTCCTTCTCTAAACACCCAATACTTAACCAAACAATCAACCATATGGTGTATTCTTGAAGATGATTTATTTTAAACATTATTATAAAGATATAAAAATCAATGTACACACCACCAATAGCCATCATGCAGATAGGTGCTTTCAATTGAAATCAAATCTTAACTGTGTGCAACTGTATGTCAATATTGTCTGCATGTGAGTGCATGTTCGTTTTGTGTGTGTGTGTGTGTGTGTGTACGCACACAAACCCATTAACACCCTGGACATCCTCCCAGTCAGAGCAAATGGGTGGCCACAGATTGGCCTGTCACACTTAGCCTGATAGAATCGGCTCACCTCAGCTCACCCCTCTCTTCACTCGCATACACACAAGGGCAGGCACACACACACCTTTCTTGCTGGAGAATTAGTGTCAAGTCGCCAAAACGAGAATAGAGCCCAGAGAGAGAGGGAGAAAATAACCCAAATGCCACTTTAGTCGGTCTCAGGTGTCTAGGTGTTTGACCATCACAAGGGCAGAAAGGGAGATTACAGGTGTGTTTTGTGTGTGAGGTTGTGAATGTGTGTGTGCAACACAACTCCTAACAGTTGGACTCACAATTTTGGCCCTCCTTCACCCTTGTAGCACACTGACCCACAAACACACATAAAATACACAACCCACTATGACCGATTGACCACAGGTTAGCCTTTTCCAAAGTTCCTCCTCCTCCTCGCTCTCCATCTCCCAGCTTGTGAATTGCTTATTGTAACTGAAGCTCCCCTTGAGCCCCAACTCTACCACAGGGCAGGACTCTGCTATAGTCACTCCTGTTTGTCAGCTTTATGTAATTCTCTGTTATATTCACCTGTTTTAATCTTTGGCACCTCAGCTACTTATTCTATTAGCCCCGTTTTCTTAAGTCAACTTCCTGTAAAGTTGACATTTGTGGCTTTTAACCAAATGTCGTCTTCACCTGCAATTCTCAATAAACCCAGGAGTCATTTTACTACTTACTACTGCTTAAAACAATCGAAGGTGATTTAACAATACCCAGTATCCTTTGTTAGGCTGTCAAATGCAGAGCTCTTTTTAAAATTTTAAGTGATCTTCTTTATTCCTCTCTCTCACAAATTTAATTAAATATTGATTTACAGATAAAATTCAGTGGGACAGTCTGTAGTAATGCTAGAAGACAAAAGAATAGCAGGCTCATTAATGAATTCTATACTGGGTGTGCACTGGTTGTGCAAGTCACAAACATGCTAATACACGTGCACACGTGTAGATGTATACGTACATACTACACAACATGAGATATACAGTACTCTAAATAAACATTTCACCTTTTCCCTGTAGGTCACTTATGTTTGGTCTCTTGGGGATGATTATAAAATAATTAGCTTTCTGGACACATAAAAACACACACTGAGATGACATGACCTCAAAATTTATGCTTTGATGGTCCCTAAGCAAACTCCCCAAGCAAATGGCTCAGATATACTGTGTGTATGCGGCTCTCCACTCCATCCCCAGACCCCCTTTATTTAATGATATGTCACATGAGGACAGTAGTGGTGCAAGACCACAAACAGGCCTGATTCATAGCCTGATAGAGTACATCCCAGCACGTTGTACAAATATCCAAAGAAAAAAAATTCCATACAGACACAGGGACAATCTTAGCGAAAAAACAATGGGAACGTATTCGAGTCAAATAAGGTTTTTTTTATGTAGCCTAGTATGACAAATCGCAGTTTGCCTCAAAGGTAAAAATGGAAGAAACCTCAGAAAGAAAAAAAGGGGAGGGATCCCTCTCCCAGAGGGAGGGAACAGAGCCAGACTGTCTAATATCAACAGGGGGGTTATTCCAGAGAAGAGGGGGACAATAGGAAAAGGCTCTGCAGCCAGCTGACTTATTTCAAACTCTGGGGACTGACGGGAGTTCTGCATTCTGGGAGCGGAGAGCACTCGGTCAGTACACTAATTGCCAATTTTCAGAATACTTTTCAGGAGGTATTTTTCAATTTCCCTTTTGTCATCAGTCTCTATTTTTATCATATTTGCAGTCTGTGGAATCACCAGACTGTTACTGTCAAACATCCATAATACTGGTCACTGTTCAAACCCCAAAGGAGAAATTGGCAGAAGGATAAAGAAAGTTGACAAAAGAAAAGGAGTGCTGCCTTGTAAGGTAGATAGTGTGACCGTGAATTAAAAACGCATTAAGTCTGTCCTTGGTGAGTAGGTCTGACACACACAGGCGCACACATACCTGACCCAAAGCCCTTCTCTCCAGGCATCTCAGCCATAACAAATGCCACCTATCCAGTGTGAGCTGAACTATTTGATATTCAGAAGATCCTATGTCCTTCATTTTCCTCTCACTTCCACTTGAGTATCTTGGCAGAATAACATTTGTATTTATCAAGAAGTGACTCAAATAAAAAAGAAGACATTTAGATAGATGTGAAACATAATAAAGTATCACTGCTGAAGCACAAACTTATAAAAGGAGCAGTTATCCTTCTGGAATAGATATATCTTATTTTATGTAAGTCAGAGCTTTTAAAAGTGGGAGACACTGAGCACAGCAAAACAGCAAAACAACAAGGAATTTTACAGCTTCCAAGGCGCTGCTATCCACTTGTGTGTTCTGAACATTTGTATTTTTACTATAGTAATAGACCACTAGCACAAAATCCTCTCATGCTTGCCTCCAGGCATGTGATTGGCCAGGAGGCCTGTTCAGCCATTACTTGAATTGATTAACCTGACATTACAAAACGTAGCCAAAGGGAAACCAGTGAATGAGTGCCCATAAGTGAATGGCAGCATCTTGATGCACGCAGGGTCAGTCTGCAGTGCTGTTGAGAAAAAAAAAACAATAGAGAGATGTTCTGTGAATTATAATGGAATATAGTTTAGTATATAATATAGTTCATATTTAATCTTGCGAAAGGCTTTTCCAGGCCAAGGTTAAAGATTTTTCTTTTCTTTTTGTTTCAATGAAACAAATGTGAAAAAAGGCACTGTGACTAGTACACTGACTGCAGACCAAAGGCTTAAACAATTCATATTTAATAACATATAGCAAAGGAGCCAAAACACAAGGAAGAATTCACACACTCTTCCACCTGCACTTACTTTGTGCTGCCAGTAGGTGTGTTGAGAGGAACCGCATGAGAGGACAGCATGTGGTTTATCTTCAAAGTGTTCGTCCAGATAGTTTGTTGTTCCCAATCAACCTTGAAATCACCTCACTGGTCTGAAAGTAAACAGAATGCAAGCTCTCTCCCTCTCTGCCTCTCTCCGTCTCCCTCTCTCTCTCTCTCTCTCTCTCTCTCTCTCTCTCTCTCTCTCAGCATTGCCTTTATTTACTTTATAGATCGGTGAGAGGAGCTGTTAGAGAGAACACCGGGGAAAGAGGAGAAAGGCAATCAATAGTACAGGGAGGAAATCAACAGGAGTGGATGGTGCACCTGTGTGTGTGTGTGTGTGTGTGTGTGTGTGTGTGTGTGTGTGTGTGTGTGTGTGTGTGTGTGTGTGTCTGTGTCTGTGTGTCTGTGTCTGTCTGATTGCAGTCATTGTCCTTGACAAACACTGACC